TGCTTGGCGACCAGCGCGGCCAGCTCGGGGTCGGCAGCGACCGCCCGACCCCCAGGAAGGCGGCGGACCTCAGCGGGGCCATGCTGCTGGAGACCATCATCGACTTCGGCGCGAAGTGCGAGGAGTTCGGTGGCTGGCCAGACGCGATCGCCGACGCGCTCGTGGTCGCCCCCCCCACGCCCCAGCGCGGCTTTCGGCCCATCGGGCTGCTCGGGCGGCTCCCTCGTCCATGAGGTCGAGTTCGGCGGCCCGAGGCGCGGCGGTGGGGCTCCGACATCGACCCAGGACTTGCCGGCGCAATTTTGGGGGGGCCGAGAGCGCGCCGCCGAGGATGCCTGCCGCGCGTGCCCCCCACGCCTGAGGTGTCCACTGTGCGGCGACGCCTTTCACGCGGTCCGGCCCACGCGCGGGGGCTCCTTCGAATTCGTCATGAAGGGCCTGTCCGCGAGGGCCGCGTCGATGGGCGCGCGGCCCTCCGCCCGCTGCTTCCATGGAATGCTAGACCCATGTCTTGAACCCCTGGCTCCTCGTGGCTACGAGGGCCGCGCCCTCCGCCCCCCCCCTCCGCGCGCCCTCGCTTCGACTGCCCACTCGCCCCAGGACAGGAGCTCCGGGCAGGAGGCCGCCCGCGCAGCCCACTGGCCGCCCAAGGGTTGCCCCGCCAAGCTCGGGGGCCTGGGCCCTTGGTGCGGAGGGACTCCTCGGCTGACGCCCTGGCTGGCGATGCGAAGGCCGGCCCTGCCCTCGTCGCTGTCGCTGCCCGACGGGGGTTCCCCGCGGTGCCGCATGGAGCGCTTGGCCGACCGAGTGAAGTCGCAGTGCTCCTCGTCGGCTTCTGCCCAGCTGTCGGGGTCGGTCGACGCCAGCTCGCTCGTGGGCCGCTGATGTGAGGCGCGCGTCGCCTCGGTGGCCGTTCAGCTGCCCTCGCAAAGTTCAACCGCCATGGCCCTGCGCGCGGGTGCTCTCTCGCTGAAGGGCCTTGGGCGGTGGGCAGCGCCCGCTGCCGTGCCGCTTCCAAGGGGTGCCTGGGGCCTTCTGTCAGCTCCGCCTTCTGCTGGCCCATAAGCTGCTGCGCCTGCGTCGCCTGGGTAGCCCTGCGCCCTGCGCTGGGCGCTGGCGCCCACGCCGTCCCTCTCGCGCCGGCTGAGGCGCGCGCGCGCGCAGTGCTCGCGGACGCGCGCGCGCTCCTCGCGGCCCCGCGCTGCGGTGATGGCGCGCGCGTTGGGGCGCCAGGCTCGCCCAAGACGGCGCTGGGCGAGACGGCGCAGGGCCCGCCTCGCACCTGCCGCGCCCGCGCCCGTGGCGCCCCACCCTCCCTCGCGAGCATGGGCCCCCGCGGGTGGGGGCAGTTGGTGGCGGCATCCGGCGACGGATGGGGTGCCCCTGGGAGCGGCCTGTGGTTGTTCCCGTGAGCCTCCAGACGCCTCCTGGACTTGCGGCAATTGTCGATGGCCCCGTGGATCTCCTCCTTCCAGCTGCTGCGGTCGAGGGGGGGCAACTGGTGGAGAATGCGCGCCATGTCCTGCCTGCCACCTGCCCCGCGACGCCGCGCTGCTGAGCGCGCTGCGATCCCGGTCTGCACGCGGCCCTCGAAATCCTGCGCCAGGCCTGTGGCGGCGCGCGGGGGCGGGCCAAGCATGCGGGAGATGCGCGGGGCGCAGGGGTTCATGCATTCGCCCGCGTCCTCGCGCGGGTTGGGGCGGCTCGGGCGGGATGCCCGGCTCCGCGTTCGGCACCCCAAGATCCGCTTGTATCGCTTTGGGGCCCGCGCGCCCACGCCCCCTGCCTTGCGCCGCCCAGAGCCCAGGTCGACCCGCGAGCTCTGGGCCGCCCCCATCGACCGCGGCGGCCGACGACGCCAGCTCGAGGCGAACGCGCGAGAGGTAGTCGCCCAGGTGCATCGGCGTCTTGCCCTCGAAGCTCGCCCTGGGCCTCTTTGCGGGTCGAGCGCGCGCCTGGGCCCGCGAGCTGAAGCTCGGGGGGCGGTTGATCTGGCGCGCCCAGGCAAGCTCGCCCTCCGCGGTCGCGCGCAAGTCCCGACGCGCGTCGCGTCGGGCAGCGGCCCGAAGGGCCGAAGCTTCGGGAAGGCTTTGGGGCCCTTGGCCCTGGAGGGCCGGGCGAGGTCGCCGCGGCGCTTCAAGGGTAACTTGACCGCCGCGCGGGGCCTGGAAGGGTTGGCGAGACCGCGCTTGGTCACGTCGAGGCGCTGGCACCTCGTGGCCCGATCCAGCACCCCCGCGCCGGCGATGAATCAGTCTTGCTCTGAGGCCTCCTCCTCTGAAGAGGACTGGCCAGCGCGCCTCCCCCGGGTCGACGACGCAGCCCCTCGCCTTGCCGAGCAAGCGCGCTGCGCGCTCGTGGAACCTGTCGGGCTCGACGCCCCAAGTGCCCGTCAGGGCCCAGGGCGAATGAGACGCGGCGCCCTGCGTGGCCGACTTGCCGTTCTCGCCCGCGTCGTCGTTGTCCACGTGCGCGGGGCCGCGCAGGAAGCCGCCTAGCACCGCGCCGCTGATGTGCGCGGCCGTGGCTCTGCCGCCGCTCGCGCGGCAGCTCTCCTTGGCGCCTCCGCCCCAAGGGCCGCGCGCGCCGCGGGCCCAGCGGATGGCGACGCCCGCGCCGCCGCTGGACGCCCGATGCCCCGCCGCCCCCGCAGCGGCGACGTCTGGGGCGAGGGCGGCGCCCCATTCGACCTGGCGGCGCCTGCTCCTGCTCGCCCGCGCGGCAGCCGCCGAGGCGGCGGCGCCCCTGGAAGCAAATGGCGCCCCCGAGGTGAATCGAGGACACCAGCTCCTAAAGCGGGTCGCTTTGCTTGCCCGGGAGTTGCTGAGGGGCCCCAGCGGCTGGCGTCGAGGCCAGCGATGGCGAAGCCTGGCCTGCTACCCGCGCTGCCCCCTTCGCTTGAGCCCCGCGGCGCGGAGCCCCTGTAGAAGCTAATCGCCATGGCCCGCCTGAGGGTGGCGACCCTGGCTGCTGGGTTGTTTTGGCGCGCGGCGCCTCCGTCCGCGCCAGCCTCTGCTGTCTCCCCCTCCTCCTCGTCGCGATGTTTCTCAGTGGTGTCGTCGGCGAGGGCGCCCAGATCGGTGTCCTCGAGGTGCAGTCTTGTTCGTATCCGCTGGCGTCGCCTCGCTCCGCCGCGGATCCAGCGGCTGCGACTCCATGCGCCAGTCGTCACAATTCTCGAACTTTCGCCTCCCGCTGCTCGGAGAACTCTGGGTTGAGCATGCATGAGGCCTGGTCGAGGGCTGTAATGAAGGTGTTGGCGCACCCAGCCTCGTTCAGGTTCTAGACTGCACGGTGGTCGCTTGCCGTTGCTGGGAATGCCAATGCCATCGCACCCCCCAGCGCCAATGCCTCCTCCCCGTGTTTCACCGTCACGCTCCCGTTGATGCTTGACCAGGAGGTGCCAGATGAGGGCCCGGAACTTCATCTCGGCTGTCTGGTTCTGCTCGCGCTTGCCCTCGATATTGACCTTATTGGCCAGAATAGAAACTGATATCCTGCATGATGCCGTTGATCTGCCGCTCGAACGCCTCCGTCATGGTCTTCTAACTCCTTCTGCTGGCGCTCCATCTCGCTGAACTGAACGGGCGTGGGCTTCTCCTCAGCGAAGCCCAATTTGAACTGCTCTGTCTCGCGGCGCTTGGCGGCGACAGCTTCTTCTGCATCTTCCACGCCATCGAGGTTATTGATCGCACTTCGCAACTGGATGCCAACACGACGTGCACGATCATCTCTTCCCGGCCCCGACGTCGCTGCCAGATGCGCGTCCTCCTGCATCGAGTTTCTTGACCATCCGCCGCAACTGGTTGAGCTCGTGGCGCTCCTTGGCGCCAAGCTGAAACATGACCAGCCTCCAGATCCTTGTTCCCGCCAGTCATATCCGCCGGTGCGGCTGTCGCGCCTGATGCTTTAATTGTTTTTGGTCCCGCACTCCGGGCAGTTCCAGGCCTTGGGCTGGCTGCGTGCGCCGCAATTGCCGCCTGTCGGTCCGCCGCCTTGTCTGTCTCCTCTTCTGCCCCTGCCGCCGCCGCCGCCGCGCGCGGCACCTCAGACACCACCACCACGTTCTGCCATTGGTCGAACCCGCGCAACCAGGGGTCCCAATCGGGCGACGGGTGCCGGGCGCCGGAAAAGTTGCGGCAAACAAAAGACGGTGGCCGCGGAGGCTTCGCTGAAAATTTTGTCCACGTGGGATCTGACCCAACGAATGACGCGACGGTTAGGACCAGCCATATGGGGCAAGACATCTGCCCTGATCGCGCCATCTTGAGCCCAAATGGCTACGGATGTATGATGATGAGGCTGCTGCTGCTGATGATGATGGTAATGATGTTGATGATGTTGTTGCTGATGCTGATCATCATGATGATCCATACAACGACTCCCCAGCGTCATGATCATCGTCATTATCACCATCACCATCACCATCGTCACCATCATCATCAACATCGTCATCATCATCACCATCATCATCACCATGTGCCCCTTTCCCTCCCCTCGGTCCTGGGAAAAAAAAAACTCAAAGTATACAGCACGTCGCCAGGTCGGCCAGAAACCAGGGAGCCTAGTCCGGGGACGCCTCAGCTCCGAAACCCGCGGCACGCAACGTGCGCCTGTACAGCGAACCCCCTCGCCGAACTCCCGGAGTCCTTGGCCGACTGGACGAGGTGGAATCTGCATCGATCTCTGGGATCCATCTCCTTCCCCTCGCAGGGGGGGGCGTTGGGGGGAAGGGCTCACGGGGGGAACACCTAGCTGGAATCGACGACAGATCGCATGCGACTCTGCGATAGGCTCCCGATATCGCACTCGCACGATCCTGGGTGGAGTAAGCTTTCGGGCCCCTATCGACGATCAGTTGGCGACTGGGGGTCGGTGCGTTCCCCCCCGAGCCTGTCCCACCCCATCGTTGCCCTTGACATCCTCCTCCCTCTGGCCTCCACCCCGCAAGCCGATGAAGCCTCGGCGTGCCACCACCACCACCCCCCCGCCCCCCCCGCCATGCAGAGGTCCGCTGCCGTGAGCACGAGCGCGGAGGCGTCCGTGTCGCCGTCCAGGAAGCGGAGAGACGAAATGGGGGCGCCTGGCGATGGCAGCCGCTCTTCTATCCCAGACCCCCTATCGGGCAACGACCAAAATCACGACGGGACGCTGTTCTGCACTTCTGGCCTCTGGGGGCCCCCACCGGGCCTGGGGACCTTCGGAATATTGCTCGGGATGACAACCGGGCCCCGTGGAAGGGGTCCAGATCTCCCTCGGTCCACGTTTTCGACAGAGGCATGACGTCGGGGGTCTGGGCGTTCTCTTGACCCCACAATAAGGCCCCGAAGGACCCGAGGCGGATCCTCCTGGCGGCGGCGGGGGAACCTACATTTACGCTCGCCGCGCGCGTCGCGCGCGTGGCGCCCCTCCGGAAAATGGCGGGGGAGAACCCGACCCTTCACTCCAACTCCCACTAAGCGGGGCAAGCCATCCTTCCTCTTCTCCCCCTCGTCCTCCTCCCCGTCCTCCTCTCGCGGTGGAGTCCTTGACCGCGGGCAGAGAGGTATAGCTACACGCACCAGCTGCAGCCGTTCAAAAGAAAGAGGGCAGATTGTCGTCCTCGTCCTCCTCCCCTTCACGGTCCGTAGAGAATTATCGGCGTCTGAGCCTGCGTACAAGTTGACGCTACACTTTGAAATCTAGTTCCACCCCGAGCGGATCTCTTTTTCCTCCACCCTCTCCTCCGCCTGTCCCAAGAGCGAATATGGATCCCTCCCCTCCCTCCTCCCGTTCCTCTCCTCCTGTTCATCATTTTTCTTCTCCTCCTCCTCCTCCTCGGCCTCGTCCTCCTGGTACTCCTCCTTTTCATCCTCTTCCTCCTCCTCCTTCCCACGACCCACGACTGCTGGCATTCGGGTTGGGTGATGAACGCTGCCGTCCTCCCCTCTGTTTTCCCTGTAGTTTCCTCCGTTAGTGCGGTTGCAACCCGATGCTTCGCCTTGCTCTGTCAATCTGCACCGTTTGCGGCAGATGTACACATCGTGATAACTCAAGCAAAACTACGTCGCTGTGCCACGTCGGGCAGGCTTGCAACGTGATATAGTGTGCGAAGAGGTTCCGGCAGCAGCGCCGCAGGGGACGCGGGCGCCCACCAGGAACACATGGGCAGAAGAGCAACAAGCGAAGCCCGATGCCTGCACATGGAAGATGTCAGCCAGCGTGGGCCCCACATCGTGTGGTCTAGGCATACTTGGTGGGCAGCTAGACGCGGTGCAATATGAACGGTGCAAACTCAGCGGTGTATTCAATGTGGAGGAATTCGCCCAGCCGAGCTTGAAATTGCCGGCCCCACTGCTCGCGCAATCACCCCACCCATCAGCCCGCAACTTGGTTTGCAAACCCCATGCGGCGGCGATTGCGATGGCTGCTTGACGCTGGCTGGCCATCGCTTCTGCCGCGCTGGCGCGCAGACTCGCGCGAAGAGCGGCTAGCCGCTCTGGCGCGACCGACGCGGCCGCGCTGGCGCTGGCCGCTGGGGGTTCCCCAACGCATCGCTGACGCGCGGGCACTTCAGTACGAGTCGGTGACTCAGGCGGGCGGGGTACAACGGCAGACGCGATAAGATAGTGGAGGTGCTGGTGACGACGATGGCGGTGACGATGGCAAGACAAGTAGCGGCGACGATGCTGTTCGCACGCCAGGCGGCGGCAGAAGTCGTGTGTGAGGGGAAATAAAAGAAAAAGTGATAGACTGTTAGAAGCACACGGAGTAGAGAGGAGCCGGGAGAAAGAGAGAAACAGAGACAACAAGATAGAGAGAGAGAGAAACACAAAAAACGAATACTTGCGATAACGGTCCCGTCTATACATACTTACACATGCCCAGCTATAGAGAGGGATGCGTTCAGAAGTCTAGAGCGGTAGGTCACAATGAGCGATACAAGTGTGCAGGCGAGAGAGTACGTATACCATACTGCAGGCCAGCATTGATGAGAGAGGGAGGGGGAGGGGGATATAACGACTGTGAAAGAGGGAGAGAGAGAGAGAGAGAGACACTGAGAAAGCCACGAGAGGGATGGAGGGAGAGACATACACAGGCGGATCTACACATCCACCTCTCTCTCTAAACATATACAGATGTAAGCAAATATACTCACGCGCGTACACCATGAAACTGATGCATGCTAGAGAGCAGTGTGAATTGAGACGCCCTATTCAGCAAACGGAATAGAGAGGGAACGAACAACGAGAGGTACCGAGGGAGCGAGAGAGAGAGAGAGAGAGAGAAATCGTCGAATGCAGAGAGACGTAAGGAGAGAGAAAGAAAGATATGAACTATCGATCAAAAGACAGAGGGAGGGGAAGAGATATAGACAGAGGGGAGCTTGAAGAGTGACAAAGACAGAGAGAGAGAGAGAGAGACAGAGACAGAGCGAACCCGAGAGAGAGAGGGAAAACAAAACAAAAAACGAGTAAGAGAGAAGAGAGAACGAGAGAAATATAGAGAGAGAGAGAGAGAGAAACAGAAAACGGGCACGCGTGTGGTACCTGCGGGTACTTAGGACAATCCGCTGGCTGCTTCTGTTCCTTCTGGTGGTGTAGTCTCCCCCTCGCCTCCTCCTTCTTCTCCTCCCCCCCTCGTCGGGAGCGAAGCCTTCGACGATCGTGCGGGAGACGAGGATCTCGATGCCCGACTCGGACGCCTCAGCGCGAGCCCATCCACCGAGCGCGAGAGCGGGGAGAGCGGGGAGGCGAGTGGGGAGGGGGGAGGGGGGAGGGGGAGGGCCAAGGAGGAGGGACGAGGGATGAGACGAGACCAGCAGGGAGGGGAGGGGGGAGTGGGTGTGGAGGGAGGAGGAGGGCCCGGAGGGATGGGGGAAAGAAGGGGAGGGGGGGGGAGGGAGAAGGGAGAAGGGAGGAGGAGGGAGGAGGACGAGGAGGAGGAATGCATATGACGAGGGGGAGGATCCGGAGGCGTAGGAGGAGCAGAATCTCCCTGCGGGCTTCAACCACCTGCTTACATCCCCCAGGTGGGGGCCTGGCAAAGCGCCAGCACGTTCTCCAGCAGAACAACCAGACCCAACAAACGCGGGCAAGATGAACAGAAGGAGGACGAGGAGGAGGAGGAGGACGAGGAGGAAAAAATGAGAGGAGGAATGAGAGGAGCGAGGATGGATTAGGAAGGGGGAGGGAGCAGGGCGCGGCAAGGGAAAAGGAGCGGAGGGGAGGGGGACGCCACCGCTCTGCTCTGGTGTGGCCTGCGGGCTGGCGGCGGTGGCGAAAGAAACCGAGCGGGTGCTCGGAAAGGCGGGAGGGCGAATGGGGGAAAGAAAAGCTTGGCGGCGCCCCGCTTCTTGGAAGAACGGGAGTGCTTCTCAGAAGCAGCACAACTTCTCAGAAGCAAGCCACCTGCTTCTCAGAAGCACGACAGGAGCAGCTTCCAAGAAGCAGCCACAAGCTTCTGAGAAGGGGCGCCCGCGCCTTCTAAGAAGGGGAGGTGCTTCTAAGAAGCCTTCCCCCTTCGTCGTCGTCTTCGTCGTCGTCTTCGTCGTCGTCTTCGTCGTCGTCGTCGTCGTCGTGAGAAGAAGGGGGGGTGCTTTCAAGAAGCCTTTCCCCACCCTCCCGCCACCCCTCTCTGCGCGTGGCTGAGAAGCAGGGGCGCGGCGCGAGAGGCGAAGCCTCTTCGGAAGACCATATGCAGGCCCCGAGTGGGGGCCGAGCTGCACTCGGACCGACGGCGTGAGAGTCCGCCCCGAGACTGGGTACACCGCAGCCCCTGACTTGACGTGACCCGCGCCAATGCAAGCTTCGTTGCCAAAAGAGAGCACGGCATAATTATAGACATGAACTTCCGGCACTCCGAGCGGATTGCTTGGATCCGCGCTGGATCCCCCTCCCTGGCGCGCGGAGCGCGCCAGGGGCGGAGCCGGAGGCGCCGTTCGGGAGCCCAGCGCAGACCCAGGACATCCGCGCGGAGCGCAAGAAAGTTTGTGTTTCTGGCGTCCTGTCTCCTTCGGGCTGCGCACCCCTCGGCGAGGTGCACCACGGCCCTCTCTTTCGACAACCGCGCCCCACGAACCACTCGCAGAGCAGCTGCTCGCAAATTTGGCCCGCATCGCCGCGGGGGATTTGCCTTCCATGATACGGAGGCAGACGTGTTTTTGATCCTGACGTCTGCGAGTATAGGGGGCCACATGCGAACTTCTACCCCACCCTCCCCCTCAGAAATCGTGGGGGGTAGGGGCAGGTTTCGCATGTGGCCCCCTAGAGTAGGCACCTCGCGAGTGGCGGAACGCGCTCAGTGACTCTCCGCCTCCCCCCGAGAGCTGGCGGCGCGCGCGCCCCGCGGGGGGGGGGAGGCGGGGATGGGCCGGGCCGTCGCAGGCAGGCTCGGAAGGCCCCTGGCCTCCTCGGACGCTCTCGGCGCCTTCTCTCCGGAGCCCCGCCGCCTGCGGACGAGGCTTCCCTTAGGGCGGGTAGGTCCTCCCGCGGGCGGATGTTGGAACAGATGCGAAAGTAGCCAGCCATATCCCAAACTGGTCCACGAACACAGGAGAAAAGGTCCCCGGACTATCTTTGGGCTGTTCTCGAATGTCCCTCCCGTAGAGGGACATGCCCGACTTCAGGCTGCTCACTTCTCGCTTCCCTCAGCGGCGCGCCGCCGAGGGAGGAGAAGGACGGGAAAGAGGAGGTGGAAGGCGAGGGGGACGGCGACCAAGAGGGAGGGCCGGGGATGGTGAGCACGAGGAGGGCTGGGATGAGCTGAGAGGGGGACAGTGCGCAGGGCGGAGCGAGGGAGAGGGTGAGGATGGCGGTGGCGACCTGCACCCTGCCAGCCGCCCAACTCGCACAGTTGACAAGGGGGGCGGGCACACGAGGACAGGGAGAGGCAAGCTGCAGGTGCCGTGGCCATCCAGCATGCTCCGCGGCCTGGTCATCTGCGACCCGCGTCCTGGCGGAGTTGCATGACAGGCATCGTGCTGACGACGACTCGGACAGAATTTCCCGACAAGTCGAAGCCCTCTTGCACAGCGTGATTCCTTCACCGGCCCATCACCAACGTGTCAGCGCGCGCCGCGTGTCCGAGACATTCGTCGGCCCAAGGGGGGCCACGGGCGTAGTAGATCCTCCACGACAGGGAACTCAGGTCGGAGCATATAATTACATCGATTCCGCGCGCGTCAGGGCGGCCCTGATGGGGCTACAGACCACACTGCCGCGGGAGAGCGGCCAAGAGCGAGTGACGAGCTTCCAAGAGCGGGCCATGAGCGCGGATCCATGGGTGGCAGGCCTCAAGATGACTCCAAATTTGCCCAAATATAACTACGCTATGGCTCCACTGTGGCCACAGGAGGACCCAGGACGGTCCAGGCTAGTCGGATGGGCTTTAGCGAAAGCCCAAGATGGTTGAAAAATCTCTCCTCGGAGGTTCCGAAGATTTCGGTTGACCCGAAAGGTGGTCCAGCTGGAAGGGAGTGGTGCAATAGATGCGGGGTAATAATACTGCAAATGTGCTGCGCCGAGGAACTGTATTGCATTGTACTGCACTGGCACGCGAACATCCAGCATTACACTTGCGCACCGGAATGTACTGCACGTCCGAAATCTCATGCAAACCCCAACATTTGTTGTACCTACCAGATCTGTCGCACAACCCCTTGTCGCTGGACCCCCTTGTGGGTCAACCAGAAAGATGGCACGAGTAATACTCATGTTGCTTCAGTCCCCGAGCAGTGCTGACTATCGGGGCTTCTTACTTCGCTGCCGGGGCACCTCGGGCCGGGCGCCGCTCTGGCCCGCTCAGCCTGCGGCCGCCCGCCGCCGCCCAGGTCGCCGCCCGTCGCCGCTGGGCCCCCGCTTGCCGCTCTGGCGCCGGCCTGTGGACGCGCACGTCGCAGCCGTCGCCGCTGGGCCCCGGTGGCAGTCCAGCTGGCTCGTCGCCGCACGTCGACGCGTTGCAATCGCACCGCGTTGCATTGCGTCGCACCGCGTTGCACTGAGTCGCATGGCGTTGCATGGCGTTGCATTGCGTCGCGTTGCTTTTTGCGCTGCTCTGCGCTGTTTTTTGCATGGCTCTGCTCTGCTTTTTGCACGGCTCTGCGTGGCCTTCCATGGCTTTGCATTGCGCTGCACTGAGTTGCGTTGCTTTGCATTGCGTTGCAGTGCTTTGCCCTGCTGTGAACTGCAAAGGTTGCACCACATAGCTTGCACCACACGGGTTGCACCACATTGAGTGCACCACCTAGATTGCGCCGCATAGATTGCAACATATTCTTGTTTCGGGTCCACGCTGGCTAACACTTACGGCATGTTCGTGCCGTGTCGACCTGCGCGTTGGTTCCTGACGCCGCGAGGATCCTTCAACTTTGAACGATCGGCCCTTTCCGCAATGTCCGATCGCTCAACATCGACCGACTCTGGGTCGCCGACGGCGTTCAACGTTGAACGCCAGCGTCGGGGTCGCCGCCAGTCGATACGACACGAACCTACCGCATGTTTTGAAGGGGCCCTGGGACACACAAATAAATACACACCAATAACAGGATGCCCAATGTTTTGCCATATTTTCTGGGTTTTCGTCCTCCCCACCACCTCCCATATTTTCCTATATTTCCTGGGAATCGACGATTAATCGTGTCTGTGTGTTTTCCCCTCCTGATGTTTGTTGCTTGGTCACCCCTCGCAGATTTTGGCACTCGTGCCCCTGCGAGATCCACCGCGTCCTTCGGGCCCCGCGGCGCGCCCACGGGGGCCCCGAATATTGCCCCAAGAGCACCCACGGGGCTCAATGCAGAGGGCCCCAAGACGATGGGCAAGTTCTCCACCACCGCCACCATATTGAGGACGGGGGAGAAGGGGGGGATGAGGAGGTCCTCCTCCTCCTCCTCCTCCTCCTCCTCCTCCTCCCACATAATGGTAGCGGTGGTGAAAGATGGGCCCATCACAAGAGAGCCCCGGGGAGGGCCCAGGAGCGACCCGAGAGCGCGGGTCGATCGGCGCCACGCCTTCAGATGGCCCCAATGACGGCCCAGCGACGTTCCAGGATGGTGCCAACGTGTCCCCAACACGGTCAGAGACAGCCCACGGGACCGCAAACGTGGCCCTCGATGGCCGAACATGCACCCCTCGGAGGCCTCCAAGATGGCCAGAGTTGTAGAACCTGGCCTCTGCGGTATTCGACTGCTTCTGGCTCTGTTCGGAGGAGGAGGAGGAGGAGGAGGAGGAGCAGGAGGAGGAGGAGGAGGACCCCTGGTGCTGGTCACTTGGCTTCTGGCCTCTGCGGGGTTCGACTGTCCCCTCGGGCCCCGCGGTGGTCCCAAGAGGGCCACGAGGGCGCCGCACGCAGGCCCCGTGACTCCAGGAGAGGCCCACAGGGCTCCCACAGAACCCCACGGCTGGCCATCGCTCGGACGTCCATTCCCCTGTGTTTTCTTTGTCGGTTTCGTGCATGGTTGTTTCGCCAAATGATCAGGGATGCTCCTCGATGGGCCTCGCCGAAGGAAACATGCACACGCCCGAGCGATGCCACGCACAAGGGTCCAAGTGCGGCCCGAGAGCTCGGGTTCGTCGGCGCCAGGCCGTTCGAAGGTACAAGCCTAGCCAGATGGTACCAAGGGGGGGCCCAGGATGGTCTGAGGCAGCCTCACGGGCCGCAGCGGTAGCCCTGGATGCCCGCAGGTGCCCCCTTTCTGAGGCCCTAAAA